ATAACGTAAAAGGAAATTTTAAGTAAATTAAAAATTAAAAAATATTATTTGTTTTGTTTTTATTTCAAAATGCATCTTATTTAAAACATTACCCGTTTAGAATGACTAGAAATGTTTATTTTTTTTAAATTTCGAATTAAGATAAGGCATTCATATTAAAATGTAATTACAATTCTTTAAACAATAGCTAACTGGTTTATCCAAAATGAGTGCGGCTCTGTTTTCATCAATCTGTAATTTGGATTATCTTATCTTTTATCTTAATTAATAAGATTTATCTTGAAGATAATTTATCTTGATTAATAAGATTTCTCTTGAAGATCATTTATCTTGAATAATAAGATTTATTTATCTTGATTAATAAGATTTATTTATCTTGATTAATAAGATCATTTATCTTGATTAATAAGATTTATCTTGAAAATCATTTATCTTGATTAATAAGATTTATCTTGAACATAATTTATCTTGAAGATCATTTATCTTGATTACTAAGATTTATCTTGAACATCATTTATCTTGATTAATAAGGATTTAACTATATATGCTAATGTGAGGAGTTTTCTTTAGGTTCATTTAATTCTTCATTTCATTGCAATTTATTGCTTAATACCCTTATAATCATGAAAACAGACTGTTAACATTTATCATGGAAATATTTCAGCTCCCAATTTTCCTGTTTTCCTTCTCTAAACCAGTGTGAATTGCTTAATCGCATAGTAGAATCTTTCATCTTCCTGTTTATCTACTATCATCAGGAATTTCAGGAAATATAGCAGAGTGGTAAAGCAGGAAATAAATCTTCCTTTTGCAGTCTCATGTTAATTCATATTGCATGCTTTAGATTATCAAAAGTGTTTAAGATATAGCCTAGTTTTGATTAAATTGAATAATTAGTGACTTTATGATTCCTTAGAAAGTTATGCAATGCACGTCTTCATCCCATCTACACTTCGTCTAGAATATACAAATTTCACTTTCTAAATTCTCTGCCGCCTATTAAATGTTTATGGTAATTAGCCTAGTTATCCTTTTAGTTTGCCTATATATACATTTTGCTTTCCTCAACTCTCGCCAGAATGCAACTCAATTAAAAGTATGAATAAGTGCAGATCTTGCGTTTTAGACAAAACTTATTTCACCATAAGTAACGGTCAGTAGTCTTTGCTGACCGTTATTCTATCTGTGCATTTAAAAATCTTTAACAATAGATTTGCTTAAATGATTGATCGATTAATGCAAAATACCTGAAGGTCAACTCTCTGAGAGAAGAAACACCTTCTTAGAGTGTTTTTAATGGCTCGCATTCATGCAGTAGATGACGAAAATTACAAAACCTGCCGGTGCCATTTTTCCTTTCCCCGGGAGTAAATCTATATAGAATTAATATTTTTCTTCAGTTCTATCCATTTCGCAGCTACTCAGTTAGTTTCCTTCAATAGAACTCATGTATTGTCCCCAGTGCATGAATATAACACTGAAAACGTAATTCAAGTACCAAATAAGCAGCAATTACAAAAAATTTTTCCTTTCATCTAAATGGTAGTAAAATAACTACTGAACATTGGAAATATTTATGCTTAGAATCAATTTTTAGGTATAGCCTATAGCAAAGATCCTCAGAAATTCAGAGAAAATGGTAAGCCATAGTTTAAAATTTGTAATATTGTTTGTTTATTCTTTAGCATATGAAATGTTCTTTTAAACGATGTCAGTGAAATGTTAGACCTGTGGATCAACTTGTAAAAATCAGAAATTATATCAATTCATTGCTGATATAGGAGCATTCCGGCTATATAAAGACAAAAATAATGTTCATATTCTTGTTTTATGCTTATTTAAATAGTTTTGATGGAATAAATTTAATTGTGAGGCAAGATAAAATTATCCATCAACGAAGTGGTACTCCGCTGTCTTGGTTAATGCATTTAAAAGTTATTATGAAAAAAAAAAAAAAAAAAAAAACTGTTTGTTCTTTTTCGTAAGATCTTAACTGCTTTCGTAAGAACAAACAGTTTTTTTTTTTCATAATAACTTTTAATGACTTTCGCTTTCATAATAACTTTCGATTATACTATATTGGTATTTTAAAGCAGAAAATACTTGAATAAATATTTAAAAAGGAAAAATTCAGATTTTGCATTTAAAACGGCGTTCTACTGATTAGGTTGGATTACTTATCTCAGCAAAGCACTTAAGAACTATCTGCCTTAGGAGGAATGCTTTTAAAGAAAATTTAAACAAACAAACAAAATCTTGGCTTTCATTTACGCCGCAACTCGTGAAAAATATTAAAACCCCATGTAGGTTGCCTTTTTACTGAATAATACTGAAGATATTCTACTGAATTTCAATAATGAACTTAACTGACAAAAACTTCGAATTTTATTTTTCAGAAGAGTCTAATATTAGCTTTAACAAACGTATTGTTTACCTGATATTCGCATAGAATCTTAACAGATTGCAGGGTGGTTTGATTGATGAAAGGAAAGCCTCTATTGGCAATTTGCCTTAAGGTGTGGTTCCTTCGATGTCTGTTTATTTAAGGGAAAGTTTACTTTGATGTAGGACAGGAATAGGAAACTACGGCCCGCGGGCCAACTTCGGCTTGCCGGAAGGTTCTATCCGGTCCGCGGATAGAATTTTAATTTGCCGGCCCGAGGCAAATTAAAAGAAATATATATTTATATATTATATGTTCATCTCCTTTTCTACTTTGTTTAAATTTTATTTTTTTTCCCTTTTTTTCAAAGGACTAATGATCTTTTTACTTTCTCTATTTTTGTCCTACAAAACATAAATTGGCGGAACTAGCAAGTACAGACAGCTTTCAATCGTTAAAGTGTTAAAAGCGGAAGTTCCCCTGTTAATTTACAGCTGTAGATTGGCGCCAACAAGCGTTATCGCTTTCTCGAGAAGCAGATATATGGGAATCCAATATAAGTGAATTAGACCTCTTAGAAAAACCTGAATCTTAATAAAACTTAATCTCTTTGCTGGGCATCTAGTTAAGAACGACTTGTCTCATTTCCCGAGGTTAAATTCAATACCCTCAGTAAATGAAGAGAAGCTTAAGAATTATGAAGATGGCTTAAAAAAAATTGCATTTTGAGTTCGAACGAAGATTTCAAGATTCATTAGCCATTCAAATAGAAATAGATATTTTTACCAGAAATTTCAACGAAAATTGTGAAACAGTGAGGTAAGATTTGCAGCTTGAATTAATTGAGTTGCAACCTAACAATCATCTCAAGCAGTTGTTTCTAAATATGCCAAACTTAGAGTTTTACAAGTCATTATCGAAAGTAAGTTTCCCAAATTTAATATCTCACGTCTGGAAAATCAGTGCTATGTTTGCTTCATCTTATATATGTGAACAAGTGTTTTAAACTGTAAACCTTAGAAAGAATTATTTCAGAAGTAGACTGACAGATGAGCATTTAGCCTCGCTCCTTAGAATCGATACATCTCACTTCAAACGTCAATATAAGAATTTTTAAAAATGAAATCGCAATTTCATTCCTCTCATTAACATATTTAAATTGTAATACTTGTATATTGTTTTCAAAATTTTTAGAAAAATTTATTTTGGCCCGCCAAACTTTTATTTTTCCATTTTTGGCCCGCGACCGAAAACGTTTACCCATCCCTTGTGTAGGAAGTAACATCATGCATGGGAAAACCCAGAAGAAACGCAGTTAAGAATACGCACATTGGCCGAGGTTTAAACGAAGATGAACGCTAGTTTCCAAAATAAACAATAGTTGGTTTTAATAACAACAGTTGTTTGTTTATACAAGTAACTGGATTACTGTTGGGTTTAACAAATCGTGAAAAGATTTGAGAAGTATTGCACCTAAATTTTCACTCAATTTAATGTGCTTTAAATACGAAGCTACAAAAGGCAAGATCTGTCTTCAGCGCAGACAGTAAATTCATAACGAAACTAGAAGCAGTAAACTGTTTTAATTGTAAGAAGTAAATTGCTTCTAAGGTGGGTACTTTTAAAGTGAAGTAAGTGAATATATATTATTAGAGAAACGAAATTTGTTAAAAAAAAAAATCTGAAAGCTTTCAGATTTTATATTACGTCCAAAAGGTGGGTTTTTTTTTTTTTTTTTTTTAAATCATTTTATCATTCCAAATTAGGGCTTCCAGATACTCATATTTGGTATAAGATTACGTTATTCAAAATTGGATGGCTCTAGGTACCGTTGTTTTATCACAGTGTGTGAAAAACAAAACACATTTTATACATTTATGGAGATTCTTCATTATTTAATTTCTTTAAATATAATACATTTGGTGGCAGCAATTTAAAAAGTGATTCGCCGTTTATAGTTAATTAACGCGAAATGGCAAAACGAAGTTAGTAACTTCTAACGCCATTTGGGCTAATAATCTAATTGAAAGTACATCTGCATCTGCTTGGAAATATGATTAAAAATTACTGAATTTTTTATTTATGATATTATAAAAACTCGTTTCTACAATCCTGCTTTTGACTTTACCTATGAGTAGAAATTAAAATATGAATTCGTGATGATGAGATAGGATTTAGTAACATTCCAATGATATATATTTGTCAAAATCTAGAAATTAAACAATTTTCTTCATCAGTCAACATCATTTCAACAATTTTCTTCGTACCCAAGTTTGTTACAAAAGGGAGAAAGCAGCGAAATGAAAACGTCATAGAAAGGAAGGTATGGAATACACAGCAAAAATTTTCCTCAGCCTTCTCTCATGTGCATACAGCTTTTACTGTATATTGTTAATACTGTATATTGTTACTCATTAAAAACTTTATTTAGAAATCTTGTCATTCAGAACAATATAAGAAACTGCTTTCACGTAACTATTTCAAACATTTACGAATTAATTCATTTTTTACAGAAAACGGAATTTTTGCTTAACAAGAATCACGAACTAAATAGATTTGGTTCTATAGTGATAGATTATAACTTAAAATATGGATATAATTCCTTTCTTTTCCCTAGGCGAAGGATGAAAGCGAAGTGATCGACACTATCTCGACAGCTATCGACGTTGGATACCGTCACATCGATACGGCTTTCGCCTATCGCAACGAAGCCTTCATAGGTCGGGCTCTCCAGAAAGTTCTGCAGAGTGGGAAGGTCAGAAGAGAAGAGCTATTCATTGTGACCAAGGTAATTAGTTACGCATCATTAAGAGCTCCAATTACAAGCGTCGTTTCACTAATTATTCTCGTGAGTCGGGAATTCTGAATGGGTTATTTGCTAACTGAATCCGTCCGGAATTATTGTGTTCTAGACAGCTGGGCATTAGAAGAATCATCTCCATGCGTCAATTGTTTCGAAGCCCATTCATCTGAAAACTTACAACATAAAGTAATAGCAATGCTTGTAAGGACCAAATCTAAACAAAAAGGCAAATTAATTAGATTTCGGATTCGAGGGAATTTCAAGCCTTGCTGAACATTCCGTTTTTAAATATTTACCTAATTTATCAACTGAGCTATTAATAATAGCCATTGCCATCTGTAAAAGAAAAAAATCGTAAATTGGACCTTGTTTTTTACGCAGTGAGTGTTCGAGTATAAAATAATCTATTAAAAAAATCTGATCTAGACTCCACATGTCTTCCTTCTGAGGCCTATTACATTTGCTGCATTTCATTTAAACTTATTTCTCAAAATTTAATTGGAGATATATTTCTCATTCAATCAATCCAGTTCTCACTTTGTGACAAGGAAAAATACATAAAAACTCAAAACATCTTCATTAAAAATTGTAAAATAAAATAAAAAAAAAAAAAAAAAAAAAAAAAAAAAAACTTAAAACACCAAATAGAGTTAGAAACCGTTAAAAAACAACTTTTACAGATAAAATTAGAGTTTAAATGAATTAAAATTAGACAGAAAGGTAGATTTTTCGGTTCACAAAACTTTTGGCCCCGCTCAACAAAAAGGTGTAGTTGGTGCAGAAACTCACTTAATTCACTATGTTAGTAAGTTTCAAATGTAAACAAATGACGGCTTCGTTAGGCTTAATGGAACTTTTAAATTGTTGATAATTCTGCAGCTATTGCATGCAGATTAAATAAAGGCATAAAAACCTTAACCGGAACATATGGAGAACATAATTTAAAAGGACAACATTATTTTTTTTTTCAATTTTAAAGCCAAAAAATGCACAATTTACCAATATATAAGAATAAAAAAAACTTAGCTCACCGAGCCGGGTAACAAAGTAGGTATATTTATATACTATATTACTTGTTTTTTACAGTCACTGCGTAAAAAACAAGGTCCAATTTACGATACATCTGGTGTGACCGATTGCAACCAAAAAGGGAGATGCACATCTGCATGTTATAGTAGTTCCATATACAAAATTTCAACATTTTGAAGCTAATCGTTTTTGAGTTATGTGAGATAACTAGGATTTCATACTATATTTTTACCAGAAGAGGCTAGAAAAATTCGAAAACAATTGCATTGTTAACTCCCACATATAGTGGCCTTTATTATTTGCTTTGAGAATGCTTATAAAAATATTTTATTCATTTTTTATTTTTCTGCTGTACCGTCTCCGACCATTTTGGTTTTTACATATTAAGAATCTCTTTCCTTCTCCTACTAAAAATATGCCACGAGAATAAGGCACAACAAATACACAATCTGAAATATTTGTTTGGAATACTCTTTGTGCTTTTCCATCAGCTTCAGTAAATACATTTTCAGCTCTGCTTATTCATTCGAGTCATGGGAAACCATATTTATGCACCAGCATCTTTGTACCTCGCTCACGTTTTCTGTTTTCGAAAGAATTTTCCGATGGATCATGAAACCGATCTATATTATGTAAACATATGTTGTCTGAATCTTTTATTCCTCTTTCTCCTTCTAAATGGTAATGTTATTTGGCAAACATATTTTTTCTGTCCTGTGCTACTTTCAGAATCCCTTACGAATTTGATTCAAGAAAGTAAAGAATAATGTATGAACATATATCTATACTGATTAAAACTGTAAAATAGGTATAAGAGATGTACTACAACATGGATGTTTGATAACACTTTAGGATATTTTTGGCCTTAACATCATTACATAAAGGATCAATAAATTCCGAAGAACAGCGCAAGTTCTGTTTGCTCAGCAGTGGTGTAATTGTTTTAATAATTGAAGCAATGTGCATCTGAAGAAATACTGTATTCAAATGGGTAGCATTTTTACAATATTTTTGTGATCGCTAAAACGCTATTAATTTATTTTGCCTAGCCCATCGGTCATCGGACATCTTTGGTGGTTTTTGAGGCATCAACGGTTAGGAGTTTTGACCTCTATTTGGCGTTGTGCTTTGGCTTCGACGGCTGTAAAAAGTGACTTTGGAGCTGTCCTGATTAATATTGGCTTAATAAAGTGTGTTTCGATACTTCATCAAGTGTCGACGTTATTTGCTCCAAATCTACGAAACCCCGTACGTATCTGAAGGAAGAAAATAACGTAACAATATACTATATATCAGGAAATTGTATCCTTGCGGTAAGGAGTCTGCCTAGCCCTAACATATCTCTTTATTTAAACAAAAAATCAGCTACAGTTTTGATTTATGGATGTTTCGTTGTTTGTTTTTCGTGACGCCTAGATGGTATAGTGGTTAGGAGAACTGACTACGATACCGAAGGGCCTGGGTTCGAATCCCGGAAAAGGTATGGTTATAACTGTAGAAAGGTTATAGCCATAGATAGGATATAACCATAACCACTTATAGAAGGCAACGGTGGCCGCTTATTAGGTGCCTCCACATTAAAATGGTCTTCTGACCTTAGGAATGTTAATTTATTTAAAAGATGTTGCTACTGGTAGAAGTTTTATTCTTTTCATTATTGATCAAGCTTTTGTAATATTTTCTCTTCATCATACTTTCTGTTAAACGGAATGTCAATAAGTTAACCGTCATCTCAATTTCCTCTTATATTAGTCGCAAATTGCATTAATTCCTCGTGAATTAAATTTTCAAGTTATTTTTTGTGTTTAATAACAGAAAGGTCTTTCAGCGTGTTAAACTACTTGTAAATTGATTTGGAGAAAAGTGAGATTGATTACAAGCATTTTAAAATGAAGATATCAATCAGAATTTGTTAGAAAAATTCTTCATTAAACTCGAAGCAAAACATACACTTTTTTCAATGTCTCATTGCAATTACACTTTATACTTTTAAGATTTTAGGCTATATGTTATGCTATGATATGGCTATATGTTATTTTAGGCTTATGTATATGTCAGTGATTGTTTAAGTTAGGATTTTAGGTTTTATCTATGTTAATGATTGTATAAAGTTTGACTTGTTTTTGTGGCATAAAGCAGTATCAAACTCCTAACAGATGTTAAGCTAATTATTTCTATGTCTAGACAGAGTCAAAATTATAAAGAAATTGTTCAGTTTCACTTTATTTCAAAAGTATCTGAGAAAAATATGAAGAATTCTATTCTTTTTTCTCATATGCAAACATAAACTTAATTTTTAAAATAAATTCTTAATTGCAAACAAATAGTTAGTGATACGCGTATTAATTATCGGCGTCATTAAGCATGTAGCCTATGAGTGAACCAGTTATTAAGAACAGCTGAAACAAACGGGACTTTGACAGTTGCGGAAGTCTTCAGAGGGTTTAAAAACAAATTTTTATTAAATCAGTACTGTAACATAAATGCACGATTTGTGCTTATAATTCGGCTAATCACTTGTGACGATGTAACTTAACGATATAACTAACTTAACCATTCTCTCATATTAGTTTTATTCATGAAACAAAACCAGGAAAATATCCATGCAGCCAGTTTCTTCTCCGTGAGTCCCGTTTGTTTCAGCTGTCTTAGTAACTGGTTCGCTCATCATAGGTTACGTGCTTAATGACGCCGATAATTGATTGCGTATCACTAACTATTTGTTTGCAATTTAGAATTTATTTTAAAAATTAAGTTTATGTTTGCATATGAGAAAAAAGAATAGAATTCTTCATATTTTTCTCAGATTCTTTTGAAATAAAGTGAAACTGAACAATGTCTTTATAATTTTGACCAACTAAATTTTGTTTATCGTCAGAATTGTTTGAAACTGTTATTTTTACAAACTTCGAGCATTTTATACCTTTTCTATTCTTTTTCAATAATTCTGCATTAAAAATTGATTTTAAAATACATTATATAGTCTGGAAATAATGCTTTTTAAATTATTATTTTAGCTTCCTAATAACGGTCTTCGTCCAGACGCTGTGGAATACTTCTTTCAAAAGTCTCTGTCGGAGCTTAAGTTGGATTACATCGATCTCTACTTAATTCATTTCCCAGTTGCAGCCAAAGTACGTATATAAATAATCAACTACATTGTATATGTATATATAACTGCATGCATATCTGCTTTGTTTTTCATGCTTTCTTCTTATATGCATACAAATACACATGTGTATCAAACACACACATGCCCTTTCATGTAGTATGTTTAGATTTACTGAATAAGACTAAAGGATATTGAGAAATTTAAGCAGAACTTAGTAAAAACAAAGTGTGGAAATCTTTGGAAAGAAGTTTAAGGCCTTCAAATACATCTAAGAATTACTTAAAAAAGTATAAGGACTTTTCTCTTTCCCTACTGCCTACCTTCGTGGTATAACTAGTAGCACTTCCCATTAGCAAACGAAACATAAAGCGTTCGAGCGTCGGCGAGGGCATATATGGTTTCTTAAATTTCTAGCTTCCAAAAATTCTAATGTCTATACAAAAGATTTTAAGCGTAAAGGCTATTAATAATCGCAATTTTCATATTATCACTATGAAGAGACATTGAGTTGATGGTGTCCACCGGAAACAACGCGGACGGAAATGTCAATGAGAAAATAACGCAAGAGAAAACATCGTCGTACAAAACATCATGGGAAAAATGAAGGAAAGCCTCGCATATTTTAAATCATCATCGTAGAAAAATAGAACGACTAGAAAATGGGTAACTTGTAATTGGAGATGATCTAGGTCAGTGTTTCCCAACGTGGGGCCCACGTCCTTCAGGAGGGGCAACTAGATTGTTAGGGGGACAATTCGAAAATGAACTCGTCCAGAATTTAAAGGGACAAGGGATGTTCAAATTTCTAAATTTTCTTCAAGAAGTCAAAATTTTCCAAAATTTTATATTTCAGTCCCAAAAATAAAGAATAATGTATTAATACTTACATTACTTATATTACACAATTACTTACATTACATATTTACTTATACACTTTCATATTTATACAATTCTAGACGGTACTATATAACGCCTGCTAAGTTACAATAGAGGCACACATAACTGTTAATACTTACATATTTACAATACTATACAGTATCATTTAACACTTATTGTATTACATATGCTGTACACGCGCATCTCACGCAGTTTACGTAGTACATGTTGCATACATGGTGTTCTTTTGATTTGCATCACACATAAATTGCAATTAGATAAATTCTAAATCGGTATCAGAAACCTCATACAGAGTCTAGTATTGATTACTGCGTGCAGCGAATACTACAGAGGTATTTAGAACATTGGTTTATTCCATAATGCCCTATACATGCCGCAGTGTGCGACTGTTACGTGTTTGTACTTAGTTCACAACACATAGTTCGTTGTAGTACATAGTTCGTACGTACATAGTTCGTTCATAGTACATAGTTCATTGCGCATAGTATGTATTCACTACACCTCTTGCATTTCCAGCGCATTTATTGGATCCTGAATGCATATAGATCATTTGTAAAAGTCTCATATTATATGAGTTTGCGTATACTAGCTGTACACGATGAACGGTCACCTTTTTGTCTTTTATGCCAACAATGCCTGACCAACAAATTAATGAAACGAGGTCTTGATGCACATTGAAAGGCAAAAAATAATGCTCATATTAATTCAGATTTGAGTTATTTTCAAACTTGAAAAAAATTGAAAAAGAGTAATGTTAAAGTGTCTGTTTACTGCTCACAATGCAACTGTTAATGATAAATAATTACTAATACTTAAAATAAAACAGAAAAAAATTTCATTAAAATTATTTTGTGCTTGAATTTTAGTTCCCTATTACATGTTCTGAAATTTTACTTACTACTATGTTTACTCACAAAAGTTTCTAGTGATTTCTTCCTAAAACTTATCATTCAAGTTTCTTTCGTGAACATTTCAATTTTTGAATATTAAAAATTCTGTATATACTAGGGGTAGCATAATTTTAGAAAGGTTTAGGTGGAGCATAGCACAAAAAAGGTTGGGAAACACTGATCTAGGTGCTTTTCATCAAGAGACAAAAAGGCAATCACCTCCTTGGGTGAGAAAAGTTCACGTAGGACACAGAAACTTCGGTATCAGAAATCTAGATTGAATAGCATGTTGAATGTAAGAGATAATTCTTAAGGATATTTTTTATAATAGGGGACAGAAAACGAACTCCATATTGTATAAAGACATAATGGACACACTTCTGAAGAGAATTCGGCATGTTAAACCTGAAAATGTATAATCGAATCACTAGGTTTCTGCTGCACTAAAATGAGCGATTATGCAATTTCATTCTCCTTAAGCAACATTTATCAAATGTGCCACAGTTCTTCACAATCCCTTCTATTCACCCGATTTCGCATATGCAAACTAAACCCCTCCCTAAAATGAAATCTCATTCCAAAAGTGGTTCTTTTAATAGCACTGAAGAAATTCAAGAAACCGTAATAGACCGGCTTAAAAATAGCATTCCTAAACATCAGTTCATACTAATTCATGCAAAAGAATAAATCGTTTCAAGCTTTGTATAGACTTGCGAGTATTGTATGTTGAAGATTAAGATCTAAAAATACTGTTTTATTCAACTTTTGATTTTATGTGAACTTTGTGGATATGTTGTGTATATTAATTAATTTTATTAGAACTTTATATCCAACGTATTATCTGTCTTTGAGAACATGTATTAAATTCATATTTACAAGACTTTAACAATTTAGATTATATATTATATATATATATATATATATATATATTACCAATTATATTTTTTCCTAAAATTTAACTTACGGAGAATAGGTATTAGATGTGCAAAGTAATATATTTAAAGAGCATCTTCCGGGCATAAAATTCTTTTTCTTGCTTGCAGCGATCTGACGATGATTACGCTCTTTTCCCGACTAAAAACGGTGTTTTCGATGGAGATGAAACGATTGATTTGGTAGAAACTTGGCGCGTAAGTATTTAATACTTTCGTTAAGTTCAAAGTATTTCACATAAAATATGGCATTTTTTGACATGCCTTTTTAATTTTTTCATTGTTTTAGAATTCATCGCAATTTAAAATAATTTTTCTCTTAAATTCAGTACAATTGACAACACTTAAACTCTACTGCAACTTAATTAATGCGAGTAGAAAATGAAATTGTGTTTGACAGGAGAAATTAATGTTCTAAAAAAATTTGGAAAATGGTTACAAATACGAAATGAAGATTAGGGAGAAGGAAAAAGAGAATTAATTACTGTCAAGAAATTTTCATTTACTTTTTATTTTGTTAAAAAGAAAGAATTAATTATTTAGAAGGCTTATAATTTTGTGAGAAAATGGTACAAATTTTTAATTGAATTCCATCAACGAAATTAATAGTACTTGGAAATAAATATATTTGGACGATGACTGAATTTTACAAGAATTTACCAGTGAAATTCCTATGAAGTAAAATCAGAAATAATCATAAAACTTCTGAATTCTTATTATTAAAAACAGTATTATTACATTATTTTTGGAAATGATTCACATCTATACGAGTATTAATAATAAAACTGGAAACTACGTAAAGACAATTCTATAAGGAAAATCATTTAGACCAAATGAATTGGATGATGAGAAAATGGGATGATTGTAAGTCGAATAAAGCAATTCTCTATTTTAATCTATCTATCTATATCTATCTGTCTCTCTCTCTATATATATATATTGAAAAAATGTCATTTGCTTTCGTGTAATTCTTACAAATCTAATCCAATCTTGATAAACTTTTGCATACTTAACTTTTTAGACAAGACGAAAGTCACTCCCTCCATATGATTTCAAAAGCCACTTAACGTGATTCACACTCAAGTCGTTTATATTAAAATATTGTGGTCACGACAATCATCATGCGTACACGTACACGTCACCCATCTTAGGCTCACATCGCCGTTATTGCGCTCTCGCTATCAGCGGAAGTCATACGTCCTAAGCTAGGAATTTATTATTGCTTTTTACAAAAAATAAATTACGAATTTCGTACATAGGTAGATGATTTTAGTGCAATCATTGGTGAAATTGTTGTATTTTGCTGCATAATGTAATATGAAAAATCTAAAGAGAGAAGCTACGTCGGAAAAGTAAGAATACAGATGTCAGCCCATTTAACAATAAATAAATGGGTATTTCAGGAATTTGGCAAGATATCGCCAAGCTGACAAGGAATTCGGCGACTCTTATCCTTTCGGAAAATTTGGCGAGAAATTGCAAAGTCGCCGGACTTGGCGACATTTGGGTCCGGCCTCTGTAAATACATTTATTTAATTACAATACCGTAATAGACATTGTAACTGAATTAATGTAGTTGATCCCTATATTAACTGCAACCGTAATTCGCCCTTCTTATTACTTTTTAGTAATTTCGAAAAGCAGAAAATACCAGAAATGTCTAACGCGTACGCAAGCAACAGTATCTGCTAAGTTTCAATTTTGAAAAAGTTTCAATTTATCTGCAAAGTTTCAATTTTGAAATTACGTTGGGTTCACGTCACCTTTGTTGCCCTCTTACTATTCGTTTTATTAAAGTCTATATTACTACTATATGGCGCTCTGTTCATTTACGCTTTAGAACAATGTAGAACCTCCAAAGCAGAATTTAAGTGCCTTTTCTACCAGTTTTCCGCGAATATTTCGAAAATGAAGAACTCTGCCAGTGGATGGCATCAACAGCAGGAAATGCTTCCCGAAATGCTTCCCGAAAAGCTTATTCAGGAAATGCTTCCCGAAAACTCTGTCACCTTTTCGTCCATTGGCTCAGTAATGGATATAAAGCAAGCTGTGGAATTATTTAAAAATCCAATGAAATTTTTAAACGTTCTTGAGCACACAGGATCATCGTACTCAACATACAAGCTCACTTTGAAAAAAAGAATAACGCGTCATATTATTGCGTATGAATGGCCCGCCAAAGCTGTGCAGCGGAACAAGGGGATGCCGCACGTGAAGACGTATTCATTTCAAACATTCCGTTCATGCTTAGTGATAAAAATATGGTCTTCGACTTCAAGCGACTCAATTTTCCCACCCAGCTTACATTCGTTTTGAGTATCAATAAGGCACAGGGATAACCGCGTTGTGTGGCAGGTATTAACATGGGATGTCTATGTTTTCCCATAACCAATTAACACATAACTTGCTTAAGATTCAGCACGACGGACAATTTGATTGTTTACGATCCGAACGAGCAAAAGAAAACCGCGTGTCGTCAAGCTTTGCGATAAAAAGTGCAATAAAAATAATGCTTACCCTAAATGTAGCTTTATTCGAGTTTAACCAAAATAAGAGGAAAACCTCTGTCTACCTGTGATTCTGAAAATCTACCCTATCTCCAGAAGCCTTTTCGCTCTGCGTTAAAATCACGTGCAATGACGGATACTTCTGCTATTAAATAAATAAATAAACAATTAAGCGTGATGATCAACGGGCGAATAATTTGTATGAAACTTTTATTTATATCGAAATTCGAAGTAGTTTGCTACTTTTGCAGAATTTTTGTTGTCTAAGTAGCCTTATTCGTTAAATTATCGTTGTTTTACTATGTATTACGTTGTATCTACAAAATAATTTTAGCCCAAAGGAACGTTAGCCCAGAAGGACTATTACTCTCGAAATGGCATTTTATGTCGAATCACTATAAATTGCTGTATTTCTTTTCATATAGTTGCCACCAAATATTGTCTTCCTGTATTATATTTAAAGAAATTAAATAATGAAGAATCTTCGTGAATGTATGTATGTATGCTTCTCGCACTGTGAAAAAACAAAGATACCTAGAGTCATCAAATTTTGAATAGGATAGTCCTCCGGAATATGGGCCTCTGGAAGCTCGAATCTTGAATTTCGAATTTGTTTTGCTATCTATTTCATATTTTTTAAACTAAACGAACTTTTGATTAAGAAACTCAGCTTTTTCAAAGCGAGCAATGGCAACACACTGTACGGAATAAAATACATTTTTATTATCTCCAGCGTGCGAGACTGTCTAACTCAAATTTTAAAGATATGCTGTTTTTAAATACTTTTATCCCAAAGGGTCGTTAGCCTAAATACTCTGGAAACGTGTATGTATGTGCACTTTGGGCGTAATATAAAATCTGAAATCTTTCAAAGTTTTTTTCAGTGTGTTTAAATTGAACCTGAAAGTGCATGATGTTTGTTTGCCTTATAACCTGAGGTGAAAGAAGAAGTCACTGTAGCTTGCAATGTGATGGCACGAGACATGTATAAGCTTTAATATTGCAAAAAAGTAATGCTGTTGCCTTCAACAGACATGTAACATTAAAATTCTTTAGTAAATATAAAAAGTAAATATAAAAAGTAAACATAAAAGGCCATCGTCATGAGATTTGAAAAAAAAAAAAAAACTTTGGAGAATTGTGCAAGATGTATGGTCATCTGTTCCTGTTGAAAAATGACAAAATTGCTCGACTCTACGTCAAATGGAATCAGTGCAGTCATAAACTCAAACATTTTGCTGCTAAATGCTATTTATAAAGAAGCTAAAAGTTTTGCAATAACGTTTTGTTCTTAATAACCAGATATTTGTATCTGTTTGTCCATTACATTTTTGGGATCGTTCAGAGAAAATCACGATACTGTTGCGTTCTACGGGTTCGTGGATTTGGAGTGACTGATGACAACACTTGATGAAAAATCAAAACACAATTTATTCGCCAGTATTATACAGGACAGTTCCAAAGACACGTTACAGTCGTTGAAGAACTACGAAAAACAAGCTGAAATAATAAACAACACAGCCTTCAGGCTATAGCGGTAAAGACAGCTTCACAGCAAATCACTAAAATATAGCTTCTGACTCGGTTCGGTTGCTCTGGAGCTGATCTTTGAACTCAAGACACTACTACTAAACTCAACATACTCTCACGATACACTTCACAATAAACTGCTATTCCACGTACGGGCAGGTTATTTATAGCTTTTGACCTGCCTTCGAGAACATTCTCGGGAAAGCAGGTAAGAATTCATTCTAGAATGTTCTCGCTCCGTCTATGGCATATCGCCAATTTTGTCGCCTGTTTCTGGGAACCCTGTTTTTGCCATTTTCTGACAACCCTAAACCCGCTTTACGGGGAAGCTATTTTACTGCAGCTGGGAGTTTCGTAACGATACAAAAACATCCCAATAATCAGTGATGATACTTATAGAATTAATAAATTATATCACTACGGTCCAAACAAATACTCAATAACATGAAATTAAAAAGTTAAACAGACGCTATTCTTAAATCCGCCATAGCTGTATTTATTCTAAAGGAAAATTTAAAAAATATTTCCTGTAATGCTTCGCCAATATTCTAAACACAGTTTCTGCTTCCAGGTAATGGAAAAGCTCGTTGATAAGGGATTAGTCAAATCTATAGGCATCTCCAACTTTAACAGCCAGCAGATTCAGCGAATTTATGATGCAGCAAGAATAAAACCAGCAGTTCTGCAAGTAAGTGCATAACTAAACAATAAATATTCGAAAGATTACGGGATATTTTCCTTTTCTTTATTAGTCCCTTACTAGATGATATATTTTTTAACAATCATGAGGATTTTCCTTGTCAGCAGATAAAAAGCATTTATAATAAATCCCACGTGAACTTTTTAAAGCGAACGGAAACAAATTTTGTATCGTTAAATACACTTTTGCAAACTGAAGGAAAATGAGTTCCGGCGGGAAAATGCGCCAGATAAGCTTCGTAGGGTTTTTCTATTCTTTAGATAAAGGCCACTGTACAAGTTTATGTGAGTAATAGCTTAGGTACCTTTCTGAATGTATCGTAAATTAATCATTACGGCAATTCCTTAGTGTAGAAAAATTATTTATCATTTTTATTTATAAACTGAATTTTATTAAGCAGCATTATGTTCAACAAATTCTGCTTTACGGATATGAATAACAACAGCTCATTCATCGTGAGAATTTTGATTAGATTATTTTACCCACATAACTGATAGAGATTATCATTGTTTCTTAGAAACAATATTAATAAAAGTATCTCGGTGATTTTAAAATGGAATTTAATGTAGATGAGCTAGCATATTTGATACGATTGTGAATTCAGAAACGTACCAGACAGTCCGTATAGCAAAGTATTATTAAAATATACATTTTTTTTCTTGTTTAGAGAATTGAGTTTTCTACAAGATGATGTTTCTAAGAAATAATTGCACTCAGACACGGTTCGCGGCAGAGCTGTCGTGCTAAAATTTTAAATTCAAACCCAAGTTTAGTCGTAAAATCTCAAAACTAACTAACTAAATAAAAATATATAAATTTAAATATATTAAAAGATCCATAGCAGTATGTAATATAATCGTACATAATTTGGAACGTATAAACTTTTTTAAATCTTCCATTAAAATTAAATTGCTAAAGTGTGAAAATAAATTAAACGTACAGGCATTAATATTCTATTTCTCATTGACTTCTATTAAAATGCAAGATTGATATAAATAAAAATATCGTTTTTTTTTTTTTTTAAATCTGAAATACATTCTTGTTTTAAATGCTTATTTGATTTACAGAATCAAATGAACTTATTCTTCAAATTAAATAGCTTTAAAAAGCCGTTAAATTGTTAATAGTATTTTTCTGTTAATTATATTATGATATATGTCTGTTGTGTTCCTTTAACTGTCGTCGCATTAATTTCGAGTTAACTGTGGAAGTCGCCTTCGTTATTACACCGGTTATAGGGAGTCTGTGAAAATTCTTCTGATAGTTATGAAGGAAAAAACCAGTCGCTTTCTTAATTTTTTAAATGAAGCCATGTTTCTTATGTAAGTTCTTTATTTTATATCACATTATTACCGTTTATCTAGACATTAATTTCTAATCTATATACTTGTCATACGGAGATTTCTTGTGCTTAGAAGTCAGATCTTGGTATTAATCACGAGTATCCATTTATTTTGTTATTTTATGTTAAGCTTTTGTGTCTTTCTCGCTTTCTATTTTCCTACCAGAATGATAATTTCTAGTTCGCGCATATTCAAAGGAGATAAAAAAGAGATAGTATTTAAAGGAAGGTTTTAGATGGTGGAATCAGAGCATGTTCCGCCTGCTGAAGGTAGTTTTAGTTTCAATTCTCTTATTTTTTAATTTATGCAATAAATGCTGGCTAATTCTGTAAGCACAATACATGACTTATGTTAGTTATATCTGAACTAAATAAAAGGGTCCTTTACACCCTTTTATTACTTATGCTCACTTGTCTGACAGTAATATCAGCCCAAACCGACAAAATTCCTTATGGCAAGGAATGCAAGATACGCCTGTCGTTGGCAACAACCTTGAGCACCATACAGATGACACTGCGATTTAGCTCAGTTCCTCCCCCAATTTTGATGAACAGCGTCCCGGATGGAACGGGTCGGAGCATCTCCCACCCCTCTTCCCTTCCACCAAACCACACGAGAGGACTTTCGGTTCGCCCCATATTCAGACTGCCGCTATGCTGCACCGACACTATACATTTAAAAACATCTATGCCTTCTCCGGGATTCGAAGACGGGCCCTTCGGCACGGTAGTCAGCGACGCTAACCACTATACCGGTTGAGCGGCCTTTAAACTCTCCACAGTCTCTGTGGCAGTTTCCAGGTAGAGTTTTCATAGCTTATGTTAGTTACCAAAGTGGATGACTCTATAACTTTAAACTAAAATTAAAGCAACTGAGAACCACATTCGAATTGATTCTAATTTTAGTATTAATGTATCTTCTTTTTCTGAGGATTCATACAAGTGTATTTTGGCTTGGTTTTCTGTTACCGTATTTGCTGGAGTATAAGACGCACCCCTGTTTATACACATTTTTGAAAGATAAAACTTTATTACTAATCATTGTAACGAATTTACAGTATTTTAAATATAAAATAATACAAAGTAATTCTTTTCGCAAATACCAAATCTATCTGATAAAGACCACCTTTTAATCTTCTTCGTCAAAACCCAGAGCTAATTGATGAACACTTGAACTTTCACACACTTAAAAGTCGTTCACAAAAATTGGAAAGTTTATGATCGTCGATGACAGCGCATGCACATTCACTGAACTCTACGTAACTGTAATATTCTCTCACTCCGCATGAAAACAAAGAAAAAATCGCATAACCCCGAACAGAGGAAATTTCCAGAAATAAATGTAATCAAAAACTGAGTACCGACGTATAAGACGCAGTATCGGCGTATAAGACGCACCCCGTTTTTCAGACCTATTTTCAAAGACAAAAAGTGCGTCTTTATACGCCTGCAAATACGGTAAATATTGGACGAATCTCTCTTTAAATTAGTTGTTATACGTCATTCAGTACACTGCTTCAAATATATTGAAATTAGTTCATTTTCAAAGACGACATCAACAGCAAGGATAAAAATGCAAGGGAATATTAATCAGCTTTCAATGAATGTCTGTATCATTAGCAAAATCTTAGCCTGGTGTCATATATGATATGTAAATACCACTACTATAGTTATGAACGTTTATGAACCGTATGAACAAATAAGAAAAAACGATCAGTTAAGATTTACCATTAAGAGAAGGTAAATCCGCTGAACTCTGGTTACTCATCTAGGTTCGAATCCTGGAGAAGAAGGCTGGCTGCCCGACCGTTTTCATAAATTTACCACTGTGTTAGATAAGGTTAGGTTATTTAAATAAGGCAAAGCCAAAAAAGACTATTTAAAATCAGTTGTAAATAATAACTATATGTGTAGAAGTGATCATTTAATTTAATTAGCTATATTAATTCCCATTAAAATCATTATGAGTTCTGAAGCTCCTAAAAAATTCCATGAATTGAGTTTGATACTGTCTTAATTGGGCTCAACTTCCATGAATTGAATTTCCTACTGTCTTAATTGGGATCAACTTCCATAAATTGAATTTCCTACTGACTTATTTCGGCTTTCGCCTTAAGATGAATTTAATGACATTTGAATAAATTTTTACACCCTTTGAGATATATCTGTTTTCTAAACCTTCGATGAACAATTTCAGTTAGAATATCTTTTTAATATTTTCTCAGTTGTGGTATCTGTAATCGAATAGTTAACTATAAAATACAAATTTTGAATTCCATTTTCAACAAAACTCACAATGTATCGCAGCCTTTAATCTCAAATGTGTTTGAATTCACGACAGTATCAATTAAATACTGCATTGATAATATTCAAACACTATAATTTACATATTGTTACAAATGTACAAGCGTGGTAAGATGGCTTCCCCGCAAAGCAGGTTTAGGGTTGCCATAAAATGGCATGGGAAGGGCAGGGTTACCACATTTGGCGAGAAATCGCCCATTTGGCAATATGCCATGGACAAAAATTGGCATATTGCCATGGACCGATGGAGAACCTTCTGGAACGAATTCTTACCAGTTTAGCCCAGAATGTTCTCTAACACAAGCCGAAAGCTATATAAACCCTGCTAGTGATTGCGAGTTAGCGTGTCTCGAGTTAGTCAGTTCGTGTAGAGTCGATCGAGTTGACAGCCGGGCAGCGAGTGCCGAGTGGGTCGTCGAGTGCATCGAAGAGCCTTTTAGTCTATCGCGGTGAGTGCATCGTCGAGAGAGTGTGTTAAGCTCCGGGAACGACTGAACCGAAGAGTCGGGATGTGCTCTGTGTGTTGTCGAGGGAATCGTGAGTTGTAGCGTGGAGAATCTCGAGAGTACGTGGAGTTCCGAGAACGATCGAGCAGAGTCGGGAGCTGTACTCTGGTACTTTGCAGTGAAGCTGTCTCCTCCGTAGCCTGATAACCTGGAGGCTGTGACGCTGGTTGTTCCAGCGAGTGTATAGTAGATCTTCGACGACTGTAAAACGTGACTTTGGAGCTGTCCTGATTAATATTGGCTGAATAAAGTGTGTTTCGATACTTAGTCAAGTGTCGTCGTTATTCACTCCAAATCCACACGAACCCCGTACGAACGTGAAGAAAGAAAATAACGTAACAACTGGTGTTAGAAAAAAAAAAAAAAAAAAAACGCAACAATATTTCTCTTTGAAATCATTCGAAATTTTTTAATCTTTACTTCACTAAAGAAACAAAAAAAAAAAAAAAATGATAGATTTTTTTTAAAGAACTAATGTAACAAGTTTATTACAGTACGAGTCTTTAATAAAAATGACGTTAACGCAATCGATTTGCTAGATAAAAAAGGGATGATAAAAATAAAAATAGTCTTTCCTGGGAGAAAAAATTAAAACTTCGTACCGACATAATTACTTTATGAAATGACGGCTTGTTAACGAGCTATATCGAGATTGAATGTCGATTTGAGAACCCCAATCGAAACTAAATTATAGGAAATTATTTTACTAAAGCGTAGTACATTCCTGGAAGTTGATGCAATAAGAATCATAAACAACATCCTAGATTTCTTTCTCTTTTAATAGCATTTTTAAACGGATAAACGAAAAAGGAATTTTATTTGAATTTTGATTTTCA